CTGAAGGCTCCAGTCCCTTCTACGAGGAAACAAATTGGTACACACATTAAGACAGAAGAGCCAAAAGTATTCTTTTTTTAAACTTTATTTATTTTTGAGAGAGAGACCAAGCATGAACTGGGGAGGGGCAGAGAGAGACACACATACACAGAATCTGAAGCGGGCTCCAGGCCCCGAGCTGTCAGCACAGAGCCCGACACGGGGCTCGAACTCACAAACCGCGAGATCATGACCTGAGCCGAAGTCGGACGCTTAACCGACTGAGCCACCCAGGCGCCCCAAGCCAAAAGTCTTCTTACTGGCAATGTTTGTTTATCTAGAAAAACGGGAGATTCCAAAATCACTTAGTGAATCTGAGGTTGAGAGATACAAGATAGTTTTCTTTCTTATACCACCAATAACTAATTCAAGTTGCTACCAATAACTAATAACCTGTGGAAACAGGGGGGTTGTGTTCATAAAGGCGTCAGTAAGTGTATGGACGTTTGCAGGGATAATTTTACCGAACGCGTGTTGGGCCTCGGCAGTCACACTTTTTTGATGAACTTAATTCAAGGTTGAAATAAACAGAGGGATATCCATGTTTCTGAGTGGGGAAGACTTCATATCATGGAAATGTCCATTATTCTGAAATTAATCAATAAACTCGTTGCCATTCCAACAGGTATCCCTATAACATTTTTGCTCGTTTCATTTTGGTTTTGGAGATGGAAATGAGAACCAATAATTTTTGAAGTTCACATGAAAGAGAAAATATGAAAGAGAAAAAGAGAACAGTTAATATGTTTTTGAAGTGAGAAAACTAGTGAGTTTGCCCTTGATCTGTAGGTATGAACACTTACTCCAAACAGTCACCCAAATGACGTGCTGGTAAAGGAAATAGACAAAGAGATTAGTAGAACAGAGACTGATGGAATAGTTCAAGTATGCGTGAGGCCTAATCCATCATAAATGTGACATTTTAAGGTGGTGGGGAGAGGTGAGGTATTTAATAAATGGTGCGTGCATAACAGCTTTCTGGAAACAGCAACTCGCTGCATTCCAGATACCCAAGATCACACCCCAGATGGCGTGGAGAGCCAAATATAAACAGACGACATAACAGCAGAGAAATTTAAGAGTTGTATTTGAAGACGCATAAGGAAAATGCTGCTGACTAGATAATAAATTTAAATGCCTGGCAGAAGACAAAAACGTCACAAAATTATTTAAACTAAGGGTCAAAAAAGAGGCGATCGGGGGAAAAATATTTGCGGACAAAGAATGAATTAAAAGCGCTGCTGTCCAAAGGGGTCGTCACACGACAAGGCAAACTCTCATTCTCTCGTTCAGTAACAAGCCCTCTCCTATGAGATCACTCTCGGAACGGAATTCTAGCCTGCGTTTCTGGAGACGGTGGGCCAGTGGCCGACAGGCGAGCGCTGGGTGCTGGGCGGGAGCCGGCTTGCCAGGTGCTCCCGCGTCTGTCTGGACTGCGGTGAGCCAGGCGCTCTCTTCAAACGTCCTTGGAACCGTGTTCGTTACGAGTCAAATTATGGCATACGTTCTGGAGGAATTTTCGAGTCTGAATTGAAAGCCCCTGTGGTTCAATAGTCCCCCCCCCAGGTGACAGGCTGGTCTCCCCCACAGGTGACAGGTTAGGTGACAGGTTGGGTGACAGGTTGGGTGACAGGTTAGTCTCCCTCGTAGGTGACAGGTTAGTCTCCCCCATAGGTGACAGGCTAGTCTCCCCCACAGGTGACAGGTTAGGTGACAGGCTAGTCTCCCTCGTAGGTGACGGGCTAGTCTCCCACGTAGGTGACAGGTTAGTCTCCCCCATAGGTGACAGGCTAGTCTCCCCCGTAGGTGACAGGTTAGGTGACAGGCTGGTCTCCCCCACAGGTGACAGGTTAGTCTCCCCCATAGGTGACAGGCTAGTCTCCCCCATAGGTGACAGGTTAGGTGACAGGTTGGGTGACAGGTTAGTCTCCCTCGTAGGTGACGGGCTAGTCTCCCACGTAGGTGACAGGTTAGTCTCCCACGTAGGTGACAGGTTAGTCTCCCCCATGGGTGACAGGTTAGGTGACAGGCTAGTCTCCCCCACAGGTGACAGGTTACTCTCCCCCATAGGTGACAGACTAGTCTCCCCCACAGGTGACAGGTTAGGTGACAGGCTAGTCTCCCTCGTAGGTGACGGGCTAGTCTCCCACGTAGGTGACAGGTTAGTCTCCCCCATAGGTGACAGGCTAGTCTCCCCCGTAGGTGACAGGTTAGGTGACAGGCTAGTCTCCCCCACTGTGACAGGCTAGTCTAATAGAACCAGCTGGGTGATCGGCTGATATCGACGTTTTACTTCTCTAACCTGGAGTTTTTGTTTCACGTTGCTCCCATTGTGAGTCCTCGTCTTCCTGGAGAAAGCCCAGTTCCCTACTGGGACATGTGGCCCAGCCCCTGGAGAGAGGCAGACACGCTGGGGCCACGCTGGGATGCTCCAGGGCTATTGCTGCCGCTTGAGGAGGCCCGTGTCCCCAGCGGAGCGAATGAGGCCCTCCTCTGTCACCACAGTGGACAAGGGGCGTGAGGGTGTGCCCAGAGTTAAGGAGACGTCCCGGGGACCTCCCGAGGCAGTCAGCAGACCGGTAGGTAGAGCAGCCTTCCGGCCAGTTCCAGGCTGGCGGGGCCCGCGTCTCCATAGCGATCAGGGACCTACCCGGCCTCCCCCAGGTGAAAACCCGACTCTGGGAGGCTCGGACAGGTCCCCAGCAATCGCGGAGCGGCCCTGGTCTGTGATGTGGTGGCGGGGACCTCTCTCTTACACACGGGTTGTACGTCAGCGTGGCTTCTGGGCCGGTGGTGAGGCGTTTCTGAGGCGAGGGAGCCCTTTCTGGCCCTGGCGGGCTTGGGGTCCGAGGGAGGGGAGGGAGGGACGTGGGCCCCAGGCCTGTGCGTCTCCTGCTTGCTGAGCGTCTCAGAGCCCGTGTGCAGCTGCGGCCTGACGTAAACGACACCCGGCACCTGATTTATAGGCTCCCACCATGAGGGTCTAACTGGGCGCGTTTAGGCGGCTTGTCCGGGTGCCGTGGGAACCGGTCCGGAGGAGGAAGTTCTGAGCTTTGTTTTCTGCGTTGAGGCACGTGTTTTTGCAGTTGTAAATGTGAACAGGATTTCCACTAATGAGCCCTTGTGTGTCGAGGGAGTGTTGCTAGTGTTAGTGGGTCAAAGGTAATAGAAGGAGACTTTCCCGGAAGCCTCAAGGTAGCAGCGTATCGATTCTTCAGATCTGCTTGTTAAAGAATGATACATACATGATCATTTACCAACCAGCCAGAGACTTGGGGTCAGAGGTCGGTGTCAGGTGGGAGGGGTCAGCAGGAGTCACAGTGATGCTGCCTGGGTCTGTGTCCCCTGCCCTCCTGACCCGTGGCCACCCAGGGCCACCGAGACCCACAAAGTTCTCATCAACTGGGAAAGACGAGAGGGCGACTGTTGGGTTCAAACCGCTGTCCTTCCTCCCGCGGTGAGTTCCTCTCTCGCTTCTGGGGGGCGCCTGCACCGGTGGGGTCAGGAAGGCTGCGTCCCTGCGCTGTGTGCCGCGGGCCTGGGCTGGCGGGGGACCCGGAGCAGGGGTGCGGGAGGCCACCCCGGGGCCCACTGAGGCTGCTGTACATAGTCATGTGCCTAACGAGCTTTTCCAGGCTTTCCTCCTGTGACCTCAGTGAGCTGAAACGTGCGACTAGGGTGGCGGCCGTCTGTTAACCTCTGTTGGAGATGTCTGTCTAGAGACAGAGACAGAGGGGCAGATGTCTGTCTAGAGACAGAGGCGGGGGAGATGTCTGTCTGTCTCTATCTAGAGCCAGAGACGGTGGGGGAACAAAATCTCTCCAGTCGCATGGTTAGTTTCATGCAGAGAGTCTTCATCATCCTCTTTCCCTCCCGTCCTCTGTCTCTCTATCTCTCTCTCTCCCCTCCCCCCTGCCGGCCCCCCTCCCCCCAGCAAGCCCTACCCCAGGGGCTGGGCCCCGTCGCAAGCACCTGTGTCCCCCGCAGCCTCTGCCCAGACCCGGGGGCGGGGGCTTCCCTGGAGGGAGTGTGGTGTTTGCAGCCACGGCAGAGTCATTCTGCGGCGAGGAAAAAGGTCACCGGCGGCCTACGAAAGGGTCCTGTGGATCCCGGGAAAGGGCCCAGGACGCAGTGTCTCCGCACACAGGCCATCGCCCCCCGCCGGCCCTGGGTGCTCTGGAGAGGGGCGGGCCGGGCAGGGCGTCATAAACAACAATAATCGCGCTTAAAAGCTGTCCTGCCCGGAGCAGCCTTTCCCGTCTGCTACCCTGCCCGCTGCGGTTTGGAGAGGTCAGACCCAAGTGACCCTCGGCGGCCTCGGTGAAGGGCAGCTCCCGCCGTGAGCTGGGCCTCGGCGCTCCCCGCCCCCGGGCCCGTCTTCCCGTGTCTTCTCATTAGCTGTTCCCGCGGACTGGCTTCCCTCCGGAGGGGAATTCCTGAAACCCACACGCCCTCGGGAGGGCTGGGCACCAGATAAAAGCCGTCCTCAAAGCCCGGCCCCTCCTGGGACCCGGTGGCTGTGCTCGGCGCGCAGCTTGTCCTCCTAAGGCAGGGGTCTGCACCCACGGAAAACAGGTTCTCGGAGTTTTTCTGGTTTGCTCCCAGCTCTCCACCGGCACATCTGTCTGTCTTTCCTTTGGGAGAAATGTGCTTTGCCAATGACTAACCGCAGTTGTGCTGAGATGCTATCACCTGTCACCTGCACGGCAGGACCCGAGCCCATGCGGAGATGAGATAGGCCCGCGCCACCTGCCTCACCCCTGGCAGAGCCCTGAGAAGGTCTGTGCCACCCGGGGCCGCCTCTGTCCTGTCTCAGGACTCCGGCATGGGGCCATCACAGTGACTGCCCCGGGGCCCCCTGCTGCCATCCTGAAAGGGCCCACCTGGGTGTCTGACGAGCAGCTCCCTCCCTGCGGGCCGAGGGCGGAGCCCCTGGATGGAGCTTGGGACCTATACTCCTCATGTCTGTCCTGCTGATGCTGTGTGTCCCGCTCCTGGCCCTGGCGACCCCGGGCCGAGGCACCCGGCGATGGGAACCCTGCACAGGTAAGGGGGGTATTGAGCTGGGGGCCGGGAGGGGGGCAGCTGCGCGGGTCAGGGCCACTTCCCATCCCCCGGTCAAGGTCACTGCGAGCCGGGTTGGCTTCGGGGGCACCGGCAGGTAGAGGGGGACGGGCAGAGGCAGAGATGAAAGGGGTGGAGGGGGGGCCGGCACAGTAGAAAGCTGCTGACAGGGTGGGGACTCGGTTCAAAGCCTTAACCAGCCTCCATCCAAGGGCTTCACAAGTATTTTCCTGTGCATCCTGGGGAAAGGCCTTGCACCTGCTTCGGGAATGAGCCAGCCCCCCCCCCC